ACAGGTGAGCTCATTATTGCATTAATCCAGGATCATACAGTGTAGCTCCACTGATACCCACAGAATTAGGGCATTTCTTCTTCCTTCTCAGTTTTTAGCTCAGAGACCTCTGAGCATTAACTGAAAAGACTGATGTATATTTATGCCCTGTGCTTTTTTATTTTTTCTTTTTAAATAGCCAGCCCCCCATGTTTGGCCAAAGCGGTTTGTTTAGTAGGAAGTCATACAGTTAGTGTCACATAGAAAGTATGTGTTCTGAGGGGCATTAGTGGAAACAACAGAAAGAGGAGCTACGACTTCTTCCTTGCAGCTGTACAACTTGCTGGAGTGGCAGGCATGCTGCTAGCAAGGGCTGCTACGAGACCCTTGCGCTGTATCCCTACAGAAGCTCTACTCAAAATAGGGAGGTTCAGTGGAGAGGGATCTCTAGCTGCCAGATGCTGTTATCTACATTGCATAAAAGCCAACAGTTGTGCTTCTGTGCTATGGTAACTTGGTCCTTTTACAAATTGATGGTATTGCATTAGTTCTTTAAACAATTGTGGAATGATCAGAAATTGGATAAAAACTAACTGTATTTCGTGTCATATGCCATGATTAGCACTCTACATTGAGCTTCCCAGAAATGACTGTAACCAGAGTAATGAGTAAATAGCTTGCTTACATAATCTCAGCACACCCCTGCAAAAGCCAGGGAAGAAAGCACTTCACTTTTTTTTATTTTGCTAATTAAGAGCAATTTACGACTGAGTAATGGCATTCTAGAATGTATTGTTAAAGGTGAAAATAGCCAAACCACATGCTCAGTTTCTGAATAAGCTTCTATACACATTAGCTTGGTAGAAATAAATTAGTTTGGCTTGCTATGGTCAGCCTCCTACATGTTAAAACTGGATCTGTGCAAAAGTGAATGGTCTAGTTTTGGTGAGCTGGGATGCACGGGAATATCTGCTGGTTCTCGGGGATGTTTCAAGCAGGAGGTGTGAGGACAGCAGCAGAGAGGGTGACATCAGGAACTGTACAGGACTTGCCCTTTCCTGAGAACTTGTATTTAGGGATTGAAGGGTTCAACGACTGAGTCCTGAGAATTAAAGATATCCAGGTACGTAACTCACATTGATTTCAACAGCTCAGGCACTCTGAGCGTGGGCCTAAGCTGCGACGCGAGGCACAAAGTGCAGGCAGCACACGGAGCTCTCTACTTGCTAACTCGTCTGCCGCTCGGTTTCATACTGGCGCTGCGCCGAGCTCTGCAGTGGAGATACCAACACTGCGATGCCTCTGTATCATGTGCACCTGGAGGTTACGTATGCTAACACAAGGTATTTAGTGGTGGAGGTTGCCTCTTTGGCAAGTGAGAATTTGTCAGTTAATTTTACAGCAAGTTTAGGTTTTAAACAAAAGCTGAAGCTTGGATTGAAAGGCAGAGAACCTTAGAAGTCACGGGTGTAAACTCTGCTTGGCCTTGACACGAGCCAGCTATAGTCCAGAGGACATGAATTTTTTTATCTGTGATGAGGCATAAGCTGTGTTGCCTGTGCTTAGTTTTACAAGGAAAGTTTTGCCCAGGTCTATGTAAATCGTTCCCTAGTAAGTCCTTCTAGATGTTTAATTGTCAGTTATTCTCATATGAGTGTTCATCCCTAGCAGAGTATTGAATCTGTATTTTAACAGCTTAAAGATACGAAAGCATGTCAACCAAGAGATGGAGGTGGTACATCTACGGCTGCCGAATGCCTTGTGGAGACAAGGGCTACTTTGTGCTGCTGGCTGAGGTGCTTCCCCACATAAGCGGAAAGCCAAAGACCTGCTGTGGTGTGATACAGCTGGACACGACTGGGGTGTTCAGAGTTGGTCAGTGCCCTTCCGAGGCCTAGGACAGGCTGGTGCCAGGACCCTTCTCCTGGGACTGCTCTGGTAGACTCCTGTTTCGGGCTAAAAGCTTGCTTTGTGAGGCCTGAAGGCAGCACGCTGGCAGCAGTAAGTCCAAAGGATGGGATGCATGAGACTGCACAGGTCTATGAAATGGTGGCTTCCCATGTTTGGTGTTGTACTTCCTTAGGGCTTGCTGATGTCTTTGGCTAAACCAGCAAAAAGACAGCTGAGAATCTGATGAACCAACTTAATTTTTTATTTATTTATATTTTGGAGGTGCATCAGAAGGCTTCGGCACCTCAGATTGATGCTTCCTGAAGTGACCATGGGCTGTTCTCCTCACCTGCTTACCATTTTACGTATAAGGGAAAGGAAGAGCAACACATGCTAAACATTGCTTATGTAAAGCCTACTGCTTCAAGAGTCCTTCACCCCCTACCCCCATCCCTTTTAAATTACATTTCTGGAATTACTCAAAGTTACTCATGACCTCTTGTGGAGGGGTGGTAACAAGCAGAGGCACTGAGGGTGACAATGGGCACTTGGTGCATAATTTGGAGGGTTAAGTTTAATAAAGGGCAACAGCAGTACACCAAATTTGCTCCTGCTCATTTCCAGTATGGTACGTGTAGTGTAGAAAGTTGAAATGAAATGATAGTTTGGGTCAAGATGGTGGCTAATCAAACACCACTGGGCTATGCTGTGTTCATGGGCTTGAAGGGGTGGTGGGGATGGTGGTATTCTCACTCCTAGGGCTTCTCTTTCTGTTTTACAGCAGGATTTTTGTATTGCAACCACAACACATAACCACAGTGTTTCCTAGATACTAGGCCCTTTTCTGGAGTCCTGAGTGATTCCATTGGTACTGCTATCAATTTTACTTCTCCGACATAGTTTAGGGATTTGCTTTAGTTTTAGATTAGTACAGCAATGATCTGCATCAATTCAATGCACGTATAATGAGAAAAAGCAGAGTTGGGTGTTTTGCATACAGTTCATAATTAGGCAACAACAGAGATCAGAATCAATGTACTGCTTTAAAAGCAATTCTGTATAGATGCCCAATGAAAACCTTAACAAAAAATACAACCACCCTTTTACTTTACCTAAAAATGTGTAATAAAGACATAGCAACAGAAATCAAACCGTGCCACTACTTTCCCATATACCAAGGGCTGATCTCACCTGCCCCTAAGGAAGTGTTAAAACTGTTAGGGGAAAATTGATAAAATTGTCAAATTACTCATTCATAAAAATCAATGTAGGTGGTAAGAAAGAATTGTTTTTAAAGAATTTTTATGTCCTTGAAACAATTTAGCAAAAGGGAAGTTTTGAAAGAAGAGGAAACAGCGTGACTGACCCTACAGAAAGTTATGGGACAAATATTCCCCGCACAAGTCTAGCAGGTCACAACACGAAGTGGGCGATGGAGGGAAAGGCAAGAGGATAGTGGCAGACTCCTTGCAAACACCTCAGCTTGGGTGATGGCTGTACAGTGGAGCCTCTTGACTCCCTCTTGTGTTCTAGGTTTGAGATGCTAAAAGCAGTTGGGCAAAATCCAGTTCTGATAAAAAGAGATGCCATTTTGAGGATGGTTTGCAGCAGGGACTGAAGCTGCATATTTAGTTGGTGTGCTCATTTTAAAAGCCTTGGGAGAATATCATTAAGGGGTCACTCAAGATTAAAATCAACTTATTGTCAATGAATTATTCCAACCTCTAATCAATAAATTATGTGGTATGACAGTACGAGATGGCATGTCCCAGGGGCTGTGACATGACTTGTGCAGCAAGGTAACCCTTTGCTGTGTGTAGTGCAAACAGCATCACATATGTATTCGACAACACAACAGCCAATCCTTCCCCTGCTCCTCCCCCTTGGTAATTATCAGGAGATTGTAGTAGTCCCTGTAGGAGTGCTGCACAGAGGGGGATGGACCTCTGTGAGGATCTGTCCGCTTCTGTTTACAGCAGCGGACAAGAAGTGGGAGAGAAACAGCAAAGATCCCTTCCTTTCAGACTATTTTCCATCTTGATTCAGCTCAATGTGGAGTGATAGGCTAAGTTTAACCAAGGTGATAAGGGTGTTCCCGGCTACAGCAGCTCTACATAAGCAAACATATAAATTTCCAGTAGCAGCACAAGCTAACTTAGCTGAAGTGTTGCTTAAACTGGAACGCTTTATCTCTGCTCTGTTTAGTTGAATGCTGGATATTGGCACATGCTGGTATTTGCTCTGCGGTGTGTCTTCCCCCCAGCTTCATAGGAAGCAGCAAAACAAACTTCCCTGGTGCCTTCAGGGGGAATTAGAGACGTGGAAAAATGATCAGCTGTTGGCATAGCTGAAGAGGCAGCCAGGGTAGTGTTGTAGACTCTTCAGGCAATACTCCACACAAGAGCAATGAAAGGATGAATAGTCTGTGCTTGGTTCACCAGTTTTAGACCTTGGATACTTTAATAGTCACTTACTAGCTACCCTGAATGCGACCAGACTTCAAAGGCTCTTCTCAGAGCAAAATAAATTTCCACTTTCTCTAGTAAGTGAGGCATAAAGTTACTACAATGATTTTTATTTAGCTTTCCTCTCGCTAATTTTAGAAGGGCAAAAAAGTTACCAAGTGTCACCTTTTTACTTGTTCTATAGCCCCACCTTTTTTCTGAATTCTTTTTTTTTTTTTTTTTTTTTTTTTTAATTTGAATTTGTGTTAATTGACTTTTTTTTTTTTAAAGTTACATGGGCTTACTGGCCTAGTTTGACATCCAGACGACAGTTGTGCTCACAGCTAACTGCAAGCGTGGAAGTTATGCTGCAGTTTGTTGTGGCTCCCACTGCTGCTAATTTGAACAAAAATGAAGGCTAGTGTAATGTATCACCCCTTTAGGCATCAGCCTGATTTACTGGCAGTTTCTGGGTTCTAGGGCCATTCCAGACCCCCCTGGACACACACATGCGTTGCCTCCTTTGCTAGTGTGAGGGACACAGTCTCAAGCGGATAGAGGATACACATTGACAAGCTCATTGTTTCTTAATTTATCACCAACAAATAGGCCATTAACGAACCCCAAATACTTCTTTGCTGTATACCTTGGATGTCTTCTCCCCTTTGCAACAGAGCACAGCTAGGTTTAAATGATGATATCGTAAACTCTGCCCACTCTTCCCAGCCATTCCCGTACTGCCTGGCGGACACGGATGTCTGTCACGTGGCAAGTCAGCTGGCTGATACAGGGGAACACCGCTGGCTGCAGGGCTGTGAATGTTTGGTCTGGCAGGGCCTGAATCTGGCTGAGAACTGTCAGCACCATGTTGGTCCATGCCTACAAACAAATTGGATACAAAAAAAGACTCTTTAGAAGACACTTCTAAATACATAAGCCCAGCAGTTGAGGCAGAAAACAAGATACCTGGTGGTTCCAGCCTCATGAAGAGGACTGAGTAGTGCCAGCATATTAATTTAAAGTTCACCGTGTCTTCCTAATTCACAATCGGTACTGTAAGTCATTGCTTGACTTCGTATTGCAAGTATCATGCTCAGCCTTCATCACCTTTTCTTTCATCCCACAGTGAACAAAGACTTTCAAGGTTGATGCTTTCACCTATTCGTTCACTAGGACATGCAAACAGCGAGTTTCTGTTTAGCAACAGAGCCCAGTATTTCTGCTGTGGAATTCTCAAAAACCCCTTATTAAGTACAAAAGCATTGTGACAAGCAGCGTGGCATTTTCAAAAGCCTTAAGTGGGCTAGAGCCCTTAGCAGTAAGCAGTGAGCTCACTGTAGATTGTTAGTTCTTAGGACTAAGTGCGGCTTTGGCCCCAGTCACAGAAGTTCTCTTGAAAGCTGTACTAGTATACGCCTGATAACACTTCCCTGAAGACTGATTTTCGTTTGGCAAGACAGAATCAGGTTTTTATCAGTGCCAGCTGCTGGAATAGTCAGTCCTCATCACGATGACTTCTTTATGTAATCAAGACATTTAATGAAGAGATTATAATAATAGTAATAGAAAAAATACTTCTAGGTATCTTTTTAATGATTGCTATTATTATTAGCATTTTACAAGTATGTCCTACCTGTATCTGGGCCTCGGCATCCCTAACAGATATATTCAGGGAGCTGACTGTGGATCCTGAACGTGGTCTCTTCTCCTGTCTCAGGATCTCTGGACCAGCACTGAATGAATGCCTCATTTGACCTAGATCTACAAGATGTTGTGGCCGCTGCAGTATGGGCGAGTCTGGCCCTCTTGAACCCAGGAACTCCCCTTTCTTTTCCACTTTGACCTCTTTGGTGAAGGACGTCATGGCCTGTTGCTGCTTTCTTTTCTTGTATTCTGTCATGAGCTTGGAGATAGTTTTGTCAGTGGCTATGGTGTAGATCTTGTTGCCAGCACTCTCCCACCATTCTTTTTTCCTGGTTTGCTCTTTTTTCTCTGGTTTAGGACTTAGGGGTGGGGGTAGCAGCAACATTTCTCCACTCCCTCCTCGGGGTGTCAGGCTGTCTCCCAGCTGGTCCCTGATTTGACTCCGGTCATCTTCCGATGGCGTGTCCTTCCCAGACTGCCCTCCGGTTGAGGGGGTGGAGGTTTCCGAGTGAAAGGATGGTAAAATGAAGAAAGGGTCGCCTTTGAACACTGGAGGCTCCTCTACATTATTCTCCAGGTCCAGATGCATCTGGATATAGTTGTTGCACAGTTCCATACAGAGCTTATGAAGCCGCTTGATTAGCCACCCCCAGTCGGCATTGCTGACAGGCTGTACACTCAGCGATGGTATTCGAGCCCTCCACTGTCTCTTCTCCTTCCCTCGTGGGGGACTGACCTGGGCAGTTTCTTCAAAAATGTCTTCATCTTCTGAAGAACACTGCTGTGACGAGTCTGTGCTTCTGTCATCATCTTCAAAGAGGATCTTTTTCACTTGCTCTGCAGTGATGTTCTCCTGGTTTGTCAGGATTGCACAAACCAAAGCATGGAAGTAGATGTTGAAGCTCATTGCTGACTGGCGATACAAGTTGGCAGCTCCACTAATGCCAGACACTTTTTTCAGCAAACACTTCAGCCCAGGTCTGGTGTCAAACTCTCTGGCTGTTCTATAGGAGTCCAGCAGTAAGTCAAAGATGACAGCCAGGTTTTGCATGGAGATGTATCTGAGAAAACCAGCCAACTTGTTTTCTGGTACTTGTATTGTCATTTTCTCCTCCAAGTTAGAAGGGCCTTTCACAAATTCTTCCAGTAAGATGTCGTATAAATTCTGGAGCAGTACTTGGTGGGACAGCAAGCTCACAACTATCGTCCGGAAAGGAATACTTGATAAACCAATCATGGGAAGGAAAAAAATAAAATTAAATTAAAATGATGCATTGTGCTTTTATTAGATGCACAGGAATACTTCGTATTTTAGAATCTGACATGAAAAATGCAAGTGAAAGGCCAAATTTTCACAGCTTTGTTACAAAAAAGTGGAGGAAGATAAAGTTGTCTAGAATGGTCTTTTGGCCACTCTTTCAAATACTTTCCTAGAAGGGAAGACACTCACATTGGTCAAAAATAACTGTCCACAGCAAGCACACTAATGGTACTTGTGTAGAGGTGGTATTAAAACAAAACTCTGTTACAATTTTTGTCCTTTTCTCCAGAGCTGTCTAACACCAAGGGACTAATTATTCAGCGTTTCAATTTCATGGCAGCTGCAAGTACTCTCAATGTTTCAGCCTGCTATAACTGAGGAATTTGTTAACACACAAGTTATGCAGCACTTCTGCCACTGGTTCCTGACTATATTTTCTATTTTTGTTGCTGAACTTTGGCTAAGTTGAAATATCCTTAAAATTCCTCCACCAGCATTTCAGCCAACCTTAACTTTACTGTGACAAATTGAGGCCAAAACTAGTTTACTACTAGGTTTCCATTTCCACTAATGCTAGGAGAACTTCAAAATAAAACACAAAGAGCCAGCCAACCAGAAGACGTCTGCAGAAACATCAGCAGTGCAATGGAGCATGCAAAGAAGCTTAAGTCTTGCTGAAGGCACATTTCACTGTTTGCTCTTAAGACTTCAACACTGAGAGCCCAGCATGGAAATATATGCTCCTAACCCTGTTTCTCACATACAATACTGGGTGATTCTTAGCTGTGCTTCTGTTAAAGAGATGCTGCGAGCTGTTGGAGATCTCACTGATTCTTGATTTGCACGGGGAACCCAGGAATGGCAAATGCCTCCAACCAATGTTGTCAGGTCATTCACCAGTACATAACACCAAGAGGCTTACAGGCAAGGCAGGCTAGGAAGAAAGGGCAGACAGGATTGTTGTTTGCTATCTCATGGATTTAAAATTATAAACTGTGAAACCTATCTTAAGGCATTTAAAAAAAAAGTCTTTGCATAAGATTACAGTGTCAATGTTTTAAATGGAGCTGATGCTCTGGTACACAGAGTAATAGTTGTTTTGATTTAGGGAACTAAGATGGGTTGCATTTTAATTAGCACCGCTATCAAGCGAGGAAGAGGTTTTTCAGTTGGATTGCCATACTGAAGTTTTAGGTCTAAGTCCACATAAATCTTGAAGTAACATGAGATGTTCAGTTGCAGACCTTTAATTTTTTTGTTGCAAAAACTATTCTACTTTCATCAAACACCTTTCAAAGGTGTTTTCAAAATACCAAAACAAAATGTCTAATTTTTTTTTTGATAATGCATACCAAAACTCAGTTTTGAGAATGGAACATTTATTAAAAAAAAGAGAGACAAAACTGTGCTTCCTGGGTTAATTTACCTATGTCAGTTCGCTTACCATGACACAGCTGTCAGTGCTGATACATCAGTAAAACTTAGTAGTCTTATTATCTGACAGTGCTGAAATCTTGATGATTAATATACACATTGAAGCTCTTTATAGGGAAGTAGTTTTCTGCTATAAAAATCATTAGAGGCTCCGACTCAGAAAAGCTCTTAAGAGCATGTGTAAAGTTAAATGAGTGCTTGCATTGATTTCAAGAGACTAATCCTGTTCCAAAAGCAGGATCAGAATGAAGGAGATCTGCTTTCCTTGTAATAGCCAAAAAGGCAATTTACAAGGACAGTTTAAAGTACTGCTCAATTCCAAAAGAAATTAGTACAGAACTGTAGGTGAAAATACGCAATGCCAAAGCTGGTTAAGGATAGTATTTTCTTATTCTGCCCAAAGTTTCAAACTGAAATATACTATTAATTTTTTAGGAAGAAGAAAAGCTCCCTTACCCCAGCTTCCTGTGAAACGATGCAGCATTAAGGAAACAAAAGCAAAAAGGGAGAAGAGAAACCCCACTAAGGTTAAAGTACAACTTTTGAAAGGCCAGTTACTAGCATGCAAGACCGGCATACTACTGCACTGCTGTAGCAAATAATATGAAAAACAGTGGCACAGTCTATGTCTGTGCCCTGTTTTGGTGAAAAATGAGCGTTGCTGGGGTAACATTTGCCTGTCGGCATATACACTTTTTGTAGTTGTTTAGACAAAGCACAGTGTGAAAGCATTCAGAGTTTGCATTAAATGCAAGCTTTTATTTATTTGTTTAAGGACAAGCAAGACCCACACTACCTTTACGAACGCAGCCTGTTAGATTGCATGGCCTTATGTGCCATGAGAGAGGAGTACACCAGTCTTTTGCTTTGCAGTCATTATAACAAGAAGAATGATCTGCAAACCTTTGGATAACGCACGTATTTTCCCACTACAAAGGAAGGGTTTAGACTCTGCTCTCAACCTTTCCTCATCTCTGCGCAGGGCCCTGTTCTCTGAAGGCAAGGCAACAGAGCACCCACTCTTAGGGGAAACTTCTGTACAGCTGTGTAAGGATGGAGGCATCTTGCATGCTCTTTCTTCCCGTCCATCCAAAGGAGGACCATCACATTCAGGCTCCTCATTGCAAGCAATAGTTCAGCTTTGAATGAGAATGCCTGAAGTGGTACAAAGCAGGTTTGCTATCTCGCAAAAGGCAATTTCATGCCATGTATTACATACCTTGCAATACAAACACAAACCCTGAATGCAGAATTGTAACTCTTGGCCCTACTGATGTTACAGCAGTTGTCTAAACAACTGAGTGCAAGCAAAAAGAAATATTCTTTGACAGGATCAGACTCTCATGCAAATGCATGAGTTTCTGAGGTGGTAACATATAGAAGGACTTCCACAAAAATAAAGTGCCAAGCAAAAACAACATTCCCTAGATCAATATGTTGACAGTTTCGCAGCTTTGTATGTGGTCTCTTCAGTTTATACTGCTCCAGTTTATCCATTAGCTTTTTCTACCTTCTTAATCCAGTAATACTGAATTTAAAAGACCATTAGGGAAGCAGACATTATTTCATTTGCTAGGTATCATTGCAAACATAACAGCACTTCCAAAGCTCTCCTCAAACTGGTATTTTTAACTCCACTTCTTAAAGAATCTAAATATTGGAAAGATTTTTGTAGTATTTCCTATGAGAATTCTTTTCTTAACTTAATCTTCATTTCCTCTGGCTGAAGGCTTTGGGTGACCTTAGGTATCCTTCAGGTATTCGTAACCTACCAATTTTTACTATCCATTAGAAGCGTTTTCTTTATTTAGCTTTCTAAGGGCCACATTATAGATCCTGACACAGGCTTGTCTGTAACAGCTCTTGCACGTGCCTGCTCACCAGTATATGATCATGGGAACATTTGGAGAGCAGACAGTAGTAACCTAACCTCTCCTGTGTCTCAAAACCTAACTTTTATTTGATCAGTGTATTTCTTTTTTTTTGATGAGACCTATGGAGAGGCATGGTTTGCCAGGCTCGGTTCACATCTCTGTCAGCCGGACAAAATTTTTATCTTGCTTTTAATGACACAGTATTTTCCCGAGGAGATATTTTACCTTCTCTGGGTATGCCCATTTGGTTTCTTATCTGGTGGCAGGTCAATGATGAGCACGCATGACTGGGCATGTTCAAACCCTTCCTTGTTGCTAGGTGTCTTTGGGGAGCACTGAGTCTCCAGCATGAAGACCTAGAAAACAACAAGTTATATAAAACCATCAGTTTAGCCCCTCCCCAGATCCTTGGAGGGCCTAAGAATAGGATTTCCTGCATTGTGAAAGATCTGTTATGATGACTTGTTTTACAGTGATGGAGAGAATGCAAGGTATCCCCCTGCAGGCAGACTTTCCCTGGAGCATACTGCTTTGGTAAAACAGCCTCAGAGCCACGGGCTACCTCCAGACACCCAGCAGAGCACAGATACCTTTTCATTTGAACTTGTGTAAGGCATAATACCAAATGCCAAAACAAACTTTCTGCTGTCTGTATACTACTATCAGAAAATATCAATGTATAGTGGAGACCAGGACCTGTTTGCATAGTTAGCCTGTTGCACCTAGAAAAGTTGGTGGTTGGAAGGATTGTCAGCCATGAAGATACAACAGACCCCTAACTTGCAATTCTTTGGGTGGGAAATGGGGAAACAACTCTCGGTTGCTGTAGCTTTGTTTTGTAGCTTAGTTGTGTCAAATCCCCACTGAGAAGGACTCAGGGCATGCCACTGATAGTGTCTGCAAGAAAAGTGTAATTGCCACATTCCCTGCTTTCTTGAGTTCTGCATCTTTAAAACTTAACTCAAAACATTTTTTCCACTCAAACAGTCTGCCACTGCCACATTATTTGTGATCACAAATCCTGATCTGTGTGTCTCAGATTTTCAAGCAGCATCAGGGTATGATTAATCAAGTCAGAAACTGACATCAAACATCTGTTTGCTCTTTTAATCCAGCTGCTTTCCCATGCTGAAACTGTCATATAGTATTTACAGTTTTATGGTACCCTGCAGGTCATTAAGTTCAGTCTGCTGTATTTCTAAGGAACTTGTTTCATACAACCACTTGCATAAAATGAACAGCCCCCCACTGCAGTCAAAAGGACCCTGAGAAGGTTGTCTCCAAGCTGGCTGTGCTGATTAGGAGTTAGCGGTGAGTTTGAAATCATTTGTTAAATGTTAGCATTATTGTCTAGTTCTCAGTAACTCTTTTTCTTCTCTGCAATCTATACCCAAGTACTTAGAGAGAAAAAACCTGCATTCCTCTTCAAACTCTGCTCTGATAGGTTGAACAAATCTTGGCTTTCTAGTTTCATATCACAGTCTCTGTTTTCTAGTGCATTTTTTGTCTTTTGAATTTATCACTTTAACAGAGCAATCAGAAATGTATATGACATTCTAGATGAGGATTCGTAGTAACACTACTATTTCCCTTTCTCTGTCAGGAACATTTCCATTGATACATGCTAGAGCTGCTGGTTTTTAAAGCTACATTGCAGAATAGGGTCATCATCAGTCCTCCTCAGGTACCTACATATCTTCCCCCACCCTACGCATTCCTAATTCCTGCTTACAGGGGGGTAGTTCTAGTGGTTTTTTTCTAGTTTTATTACTTTTTCTCAATACTACTGTCAGACAAATAAATGTTAGTCTGGTGATGAGGAAGTCTTTGTCTCTAGGGTTTGTGAGGAAGGTGGTGGTAAAGATGTACTTTCATAAAGAAAAGCCCTAAGTCTAAAAGGTTCTCTGACTTCCCCTGAAACATCAGGCAGTACCTGTTGTGCCATGGCTCTGATTCTCCAGTATTCAGCTTCAGCACTTGGCGAGAGGGAGGGGGCTGCCACCTTCACTTCACAGGCATCTCCACTAAAGCTTTCAGAACCACTGTGGAAATAGCCCAACAGGTTCTATAGAGAGACACAACATCAGACTTTCACTGTGCGTTAAATGAAGTCAGTGACTGTAGTGTTGTCCAGCCTGTTCATGTGTAACACAGGATTCAGAGTCATCTGTCCCATTACCATCAGCTGGTCACCTGCTATTTAGCATTTGAAGTATTTGATGCAAAGGCGTTATAACTTATTATGTACTCTGGCCTGTGATGACTTAGCAGGATTTTTTGTTACAAGAAAGATAGTGAGTTGAGAAATAATCTATATGGAGCATGCAGCTACAGGATCAAGTGAGCAGCTTTGTCTTCTGTCTAGTTTTAGCCAATCCAGAGGAAGAAATGGAACAAAAGATAAGTTTTCACCTACTTAACTCTTCTGATTTCATACTGGGAGGGCAATTTAAAGTAAGTCTGGACTGTTAGCAACTAGCGTTGTCTGTACATGTTTTAGAAAAACTGATTTCAACCTCCATTGTTGATCCAATACCTTTCATTGTGAATTGACAAAATAACAAAAGCTACCACATAATCCTTATGTTTCTTTTCCTGGCTCTGTACCCAAAAACTTGTCTGAAAAAGAAAAAGCAACCTGTCACAAGTTAAGTGAGTCTATAACTAGTGTGATTACATTTTGACTGTCAGCAAAAAGGCAGTTTACCTTTACCGGCTCCAGAGTGGCAGAGAACGCATCCTGCAAGGCACAACATGCAAGCCTCCACATCTCTTCAGTAAAAACAGGCCCTGCTGTCACTAACACATATCTGCAAGGACACAGGAAAATGTTACCATGTTCAAGAAGGAAGTAGACAATTCTTGCTTGCAACAGGAGAAGGCTGAAAGCTGAACAAAAGGCCTACTCAGCAGCTAGCTAATGATATCCAGTCTCCCCAGTTGTTACCCTGACCTATTTTTGCGATTACACTGTAGTTCAACTTTTTTTTTTTTTTCCTCCTTTGCTTCTCCTCTTTAAGTAGTCATCTTGCCAGGACAAGAACGACACACTGTGTAACTATATAAGGCAGTGCTTAGTTTGACTATGACTGTAATAATCTGAAGACTGTGAAAAATATTCATCGCCTCTGAAGACCTGTGAATTCCAACAGAAAGATCCTTGATTATTTTTCCTAAGTATTAATTATTGACTAACTGCATATAAGTAATGTACAAGTGCTTTTTATGGGAATCATATACATAGTAATGCCTAAAATCACAGATTCTGAAGCAGACCGAAAACAGCAAGAAAAGGTTAGTGAGTCTAAAATTCATTATTCAAACAACAACAGATAGATATATTGTAGACTTCTTTCGAGATGTTAGCCAACTTCATCAGTCCACAAGTTCTTCAAAGATCTAAAGACATCTTTTTTTGAGTATGGTCACAGAGTGAACAGATTGTATTACCTGATACAAGAGCAGCCAACTCTGGAAATAATTTCTGTTGGTTCGGCCACACAGGCTACCAGCAACTTGAAAAGATCTTTCAGCATAGTATTGATCATATTTTCATAACCGATATCTATAAGGAAAAGACATAGACCAGTTTCAACATCATTGCCTTTTCATTACAATTAGGGATAAACAGTCCAGCTACACTTACTGCTATTCAGAGACTTTGGAAAACCAAATGCTTTTTATGCAGTTATCACTAGAGATCAATTTTGAAATATGCATCACATCAAACTGAAATAAGAACAATCCTTTCGATATTAACAATATAAAATATCTAGACTTAAGTGATACTAGAGAAATTCTGTTACATCCTGTTTCTGATATTCTAGTTCTGTATGATCAAAGTCTTAGTATCTTCTATTGGAAAGTATAATATAGACTGTGATGATTTTATTTTGAATATAGCCCTGCTCTGAGCAGAAGGCTGGACTAAATAGCTTCCATAGGTCCCTTACAAGTTAATTTTTTCCATAATTATAAACCCTATAAAGGAAGAAAAAAAAGCCCCGAACCCCAGAAATTTTCAACTCTCCTCCTCTCATTTTATGCTTGAGCAACCAAAAAGCCATGAAACCATCTCCCCAAGTAGCTATTCAGTAACATGCTACTGATGACTGTCAGCAGATGTGACAGTGAAATGACATACCTGAGTGTATGAAGTTTTGAATGTGCTCCACTACGAGTTCACAGGAAAGGCCAATGGCATGCTTGAAATTAGCAGATGCCACATCCCAGTAAGAATGGTCACCGTGGCTGCGATGGAGCCAAAGAGACATCGTGGGAAGGAGAAGATGTACAACTGCATAAATGCCAAATCCTGGTCCTTAAAATAAACACAGTGACAGTTGTGTATTTTTGCTTACAAAGCCTACATGCACAGTACATTTGCTAAACTGTTCCAAGCCTGAGGCCAGCGGTGATGCTAAAGAAAGCAGGTTCTGAAACTTTTTTTGTGGGATGAGAGGGGCAGGCAGTTTTTGATCTAGTTGTGAGGTAGTATATGAACATTTAGCCAACTGTTTACCTGCTGTCTTTCCCACCACGTCCACAGGACTATATAATTTTCTATTTCCATTTCCTGGCCACCAGGCAAACATTTTCTGTGGCTAGGACATCGACAGAGTACTGCACCTCTTTATTTGTGCAACAAATGTTAAGTATGTTCAACATACTCTTACAAGCTGCCTTTTGTCAACACAGAACAATGCACTAGCTGGAAAAACAGATCATGCTCTAAGAAAATCTGTTTGTACTTGAGAGTGTCTCTGTGCACCTCTAGCATGAGTAACACACTTTACAGAAGTGGTTTAGGATTCTAAGAGGTTCAGGTCAGGGCTCTACTAGCTCACATTTTATCAAGCCCTTTCATTACCAGGTGTCTTGGCAACGTCCCTCAGCAATTCAAAGAGCAGATCCAAAGTAGGAGGCTGGTGCTGACGGGGACAGTTGGATATGGCAGTTGCTAATTCTTCCAGCAGAATAATCCAGACACTGATAAGACCTACAAGTAAGGAAAAAAACATTAAAAACCGTGAGATACTGCATTGACCACAGGTGGAACTTGCCCTCAGAAAGTGATGGAGACTAAAAGGTTAAGATTAACTGAAAGATCATGGGTTCTTGCATGTTCACTGTTGCTGTGTAATGGTTGTGAGGCAATAACAATTTTTGAAATTATGGTCTCCTTTTCCTTCCCTTTTTATTAAGTTTGTTTTGTCCTATCTTTCTCCTCCACATACACTTATCCTGGTCTTCTTTCTTAGTTCACTACTTCGACTAGTCCAGTCTCTTTAACCTTGGGGATTTAAAAAATTTTTTTTAATGGGACCTTTTACACACATCACTACCATTGCAAATGCTGTCCCGAACGGATTGTACTCATTTAGGTTATGATTTTAGGTAAGGATCCTAAGGTGACTAGCCATAATTTAACTAGCTCTACTTGGTACTCAGAAATGAACAGTAATAATGCCTCATCAAGTATCATCAGGCCGCCTCACATGTCATCTTTAGATGTTAAGAGGTCACAGATAGAAGAGTATTAAATGTAGATATGGCAGAGCTGGACTACTACCAGAACAGCAGTTAGGATACAGGTAGTACTGTGAGTTCGTATCTACATTAGCAAACGTATCCCTAAAAGATTACGGGATATAACTAGTTTTCAATACAATTTTGAAGACGATTAGGAACTGCTGTCCTTTAATTTTTCACAGACCACTTAAGTACTTGCTAGTTCCCCATGATATTATGAATGACTAGAATAATCTTGCATATTACACTCACAATACTCCTGCAATGTATCGTGTTATTGTTGAGCTAAGTTTCCTTAAAAGGCTACGGGTTTATTAGGCTAAAATGGATTTTACTTTGGTTCACTAATAACCCCATCTTCTCTGCTGCTGGTAGCCATGCTGATGTAAACTGTGTCTGCATGATGCCTGCTAGCTAATTATAGTCCCTAAGCAATGAAAAAGGCTGCAGGGGAACTTTGTTTAAAATGAACTGATTTTGCTGACTGCAACAGTCTTCCTGAGAATCAAGGAAAAAACAGTGAAATCATTACTTAGTAAATAGGTTGATCATTTATTTACTTATTCACACCACTTCCACAGGGCAGTATGTATGGGGACGTTGTTTGGAGTCGCACAGACTTTAATGATGTTTCTAGATAAGGAAACAGCACAAATCAGCATGAAATCTGTGTATCTTCAAATCTGGAAGAACTGAGTATCTTTTAGAAACACCTCTTGAAGAGTTTGGCATGGAATCAAATACACTCTGAAAATACACTGCACCACTGTATGGCAAAGTAGGCTAAAACATTTTGCCCCACCTTGGTACTGACTTTCAGCACTAGAGTGCCAGGTGAAGCACTGTCTTCTGTCTCTGTAAAGTCAGTTTGCCGAGCAATGTTCTGATACCATTACCAGCTAACTCAAAATTGGGTGAAGGTTTCAGCACTCAGCTCTGACAAGAACCAAATCAGAAGGTTTCTTTGTTGCTGGGTGGCAATTCTGTTCACAGCAAGCAAGACACTGATAGGCAGAGCCAGTTCAGAACAGTAGGCGCGTGGTGCTCACTTGAGGTGGGGAGGACCCTACGTGAAGTCCCAAGCCTGACAAAGCACAGAGTTCAGTGACTGGGGTCTCCCACATCCCAGGTGAACATGGTAAAATTGCCAGAGAAAAAAAAACCCAAACATAGGAAGAACAAAACCACACAAACTAGGACTTGTGGTTTGCTTTTTTTCAGACAGCAGCTTTTCTCTCCTTTATCCAGGGTAGCAGTGGAACAGGAGAATCCATATAATGGAAGAGCCTAGATAGAAGTAGGTACCAAGAGTCATTCTGGTTAGGCATGTGAATGAAATGCATTGGAGTCAGCCTGCTTTCTGCCCGGCTGGAGCTGGCTCTTCACAGGGGCAGCCAGGTTGGAACAGCTCAGTAGTTCAGATATTCAGAAGTGACTGTACTGCTTTGAAGGGCCATCATGAGTCCAGAAGCAGTAAGGCTGCACTCCTCTACCGCTTGGTTCCACACAGATCTAGTTCATCAAACACTACAACCTATATAAGCCACACAAATAGTCAAGAGACAAATGCTGCTTGCCTTTCTGGAGGTCATAGCGCCTTTTATGGACTTTAGAAATACACCATTTAGTTCAACAGACCACAAGTTTAGAAATGTATTTAAACAAGTATTCTTTATCTTTCTAAACTCTAACTCAGCACTGGTATATTTTCTGTGGAAGGCAGTGCTGCCAATACCAACCTTAAAAGGTTTTCACTCCTTTACTTCAGCTGTAGTCTAGAAAGTATTTTTATTTTAGCTCTCAGAAATATATATTGATTGTATTATGAATATAAGGATAATTAATTAAAATATTATCTTGTCCCAAAAGGCAGGCTGTACTTTTCTCATATATGAACTGTAACTTTTAATTTAAGGACAGTGACGTGACCTGAATTTCCAAGCTCTATATGTGCATGTATGTATGTAGACAACAGGGAGACCATACATGATGAAGGTTTTTCCCTCCTTCTTGCTTTCAGCAGTTGGCAAAATTTACACGCGGAAGAAGCAATTGATTAACTCTGCATTTACTCCTTTCAATGCACTTACCAGTGTCGTCATCAAAGTCAGAAAGGATGCACTCAATACCATCCTCACTGCTGGCTGACTGTTCCTGCACTCTGCGGGGCAAATTAACCAGCCGGCCACCGAGGAAGATGGGTTTCAAGGGCATTTTATAAATTTTGGCTAACAACTTGGGGAGGGAGAGGGGGTGGGGGGGGCATGGAAAGAAATAAAAGAGAAGAAAAGATAAATATACATGGGAAAATTTGCAAAACCTATAACATACAACACAGGTATGAAAAAGAAAATAAAAGCTATGACAGCAGCATAGTATCAGCATCTGTTCTCTTCATCCAGCAACAGTGCAAATGAAAAACACAACTAGAGGGCAGAAATCTTCTGTTCATTGACAAGTAAGAGGCTGGGGGGAGAAAAGCAATTTAAATAACACATTTTTGGAAAGGGAGTGTGTTCCCTCCTCATTTGTGGAAGACAAATTTTACTACTTATGGATGGCACCTGTGATCTAAGAAACTCCATTAGCTGTACACAGAATATTCTGGAGCTCTGAAGGACTAAGTAAATACTGATAAAAGGACCTGTACAGGTTTACTTCAGAGCTTCATTGCCCGAGTTGTCCATTACAAAACAAATACAAACTTTGCAGAACTGTGCTGTCGCTGGGATGCTACCAGTATTTTACCAGGCCTTTCTAAAGTAAACCATGTATTTGCAATATACAGCCAGGATTTTATTTTAGTTATTCCTATTCTTCTTCTACTGGCAAGTTAAAAAGTATAACAAGATAAAAATGGCTGCTTCTTTCAAAGAGGAGAAAATAATTCTGCCTCGCTGTGGACTGGGGTTTGTAAGGATGAGGATGAGCAATGTGATGCACATAGTGTATAGATAGAACATACATTAGATATACACATAGATAGTCACTATGTTCTTTGAGGTGAATGAGATAGCCAGTATTGTTTGATATGTCTGCTGTTTATTATTCTGAGCTGCCTTATTCTTTGCTTCTCCCCTTCGTCTGTGTACTGAATCCACCCGTTATCTCTGAATTTAGACATAAAGTCCTTTCAGCTATGGTAATATCCTTTGTTATATGTATGTATTGTACCGAGAAAAAACATGGCCTGAGTCCAACAAAAAGACCTGCAGGTACTACAGAAATACAAACATTATAAAATCAGACAAAAAACGTCCTAATAACCCCAGATAATAATCTGTGCCATGTGCAAGGAGATTACAGGAAACATGCCAGCGTTCTAATTGTTAGAGATTTGCCTTGAGCTTCAGATATGTTTTCATGGTACAGATAAGCTGCTGCTGTGTTTTAGAGGGTGTAACCTGTGGCTCTTCTTAAGATCTGAGAATTCTCAGGGTGTGGTTTTTCCCCTCCTTCATTCCCAACACTGTTTACGGTAACTGTTTAAATAAGAATGAATGTAACTTTGAATATGTTACTACTAGGCTTTGAACATTCACATTTTCCCACATACTTCTTGGGTCTGAGTGTTTCTGTCTCCTCAGTTTTCCCATGTTAGCTGGCCTACGAAGTATGAGATTTCTTCAGATCGCCATTCTCCACCTGGCAGTAGAGGTTATTACCATCAGGCTCACCACAGATTCTGTTGTGTTCATGCATACCATCTGACCACTGACGGCAAAGCCTGGAGATTAGAACTGTTGCCTAGGCCACGTTAGTACCTGTATAAGATTATTCATCATACCTGAGAACATCTCCTGAGGTAATCAAGCGCGGGAAGGCACAAGTCTGTAGATGCATATCCTGATCCTGGCACACAGTCACCCATCTCCTTACAGTCTACTTCCCCTGGGGACAGGAAAGGCAGCATTGGGAAGGACAGAAGAAAAGAACAACACACAGCGGTACTTTTCCTTTCATTCATTTGTGCCCTAATGTCTGAACAGAATCCAGAAAACATCCTTTGTTTGATCTTAGTAGATGAAAACCAGATGATTCTCATACAAACAGTACAGTAATATTGGTTATACTTTATACATAGACTTTTATATTAATAAATGTTTCATAAATACACGCCTATTTTAAAAACTCTTTAGTAGACCCTTTAGGAGTTCTTCAAATCATACCTTATAGTCATCTGTCATATTGACTCCACTCTGCTTTTTTCCATGGGTGTATGAAGTACTTGCTCATATTCACCCTTTGCTCAATTAATATACTCTTCTTTTTCTATTCATTCACCCCAGTGCCCTGGGAAATTCTTCTACTACAAGTTCTTCCTTTTAGTTTATTTACTCCTTAAATATATAATTTTATATTTTGTGCTACAGTATTTCCTTTTGCTGTCTAAATCAGGTGCCAAGGTCTCACAGTTTCAACTGTACGCTATCCTCAGGCCCTAGTTTCTCAACATCAGAGGTATGACTAACTCTGCGGCATCAGCAGATTCGTACTTTTATGTCAGCTTCACTAAGTGTGCTGAATAAGCAGATCAGTTCCAAGGCATCCTGTTGCAGAGCTCCTCCCTGGATAACTCCATTCACTCCAGCATTTTCCCTGTCTGCACAGTCTGTTTTCCTCCCTTCTCAGCCAGTGTTCTGCCCACGCTACAATTCTTGGCTTACAACCATTTTTCCAGTTTAGCAAAATAGCTCCCATTCAGTGCCAAATCTGAAGCTTTACTAAATGCCTATATACATTAAGATTTCATTGCCTTAAAAGCTATTCCTCTCATATAAAATGCAAGATAAATATTAAATCCTTTTATTAAATCCTACTTTATTCTCCTTTCACTACATTTATTTGCTTTTACTATGCCCTTAACTATTCTCTCCATAATGTGTTTTAGAAGTCTTGTCTACTATTGAAATCAGCCAAGTCAGCCAGTGAAGTTCAAATCCTTTAGTTTGATATTAAAATGCACAAAAATGGTAGGATATTTGCTATTGCTCAGTACTGAAGCATCCCATAGTCCTACTACCTTTAATACCAAAAAAGGTCTTGCTTTTTTGACATGTAACCATAAAGGGGACAAACTTATCTCACGGAAGTAAGAAACCTAAAGAAATGTACTACAAGCTTTTAAGTTTTCCAGGAGGAATGTGAGTTCCCTCTACTGGTACTGGACATCCAAATTTGTTTCTCTTTTGTAGTAATAATTACAATTTCAGTCTGTCATCCCAAGCTGAATTCAGCCCCTGTTGAAATCAATGGTGAAATAGCTTAGTAAGATGAGAGTAACATTAAAGACTAGATCTGCTGCAGTTAGGTGCTTCATTTAAATCAAAGGGAGTCACTTACAGACCTAGATACCTCTGTGAATTAATATGCATTAAAAAAAACCAAAACTACTCATTAGAAGTTTTTCAGTTTATGTAAGGAAAAAAAATATCACTGCCACAGTTCAATGAAAAATGTCAAATTCTAATGATCAAGGCAAGCCAGGAACACAGACATGGGGGCAGAATGACCCAACACCATTTGTCTTTGTTCTGAAGTTTGACGAAGCACCACAATTACTCTGCAGGGTCACTTTGACTTGACACGCCTGGTCTCCACTGCCCTCAGTAACACAATGAAAAAATGAATCATGGGGACAGAGTGTTGTTAGTTGCAATGCTCATGGGTCTGACACTGTGTATGCCACACTACTGCTGCTGAGGTGGGCAAGGGTAGAAAGGAGCCATATGGCTTTGACCGCTGAATGTAAAAGATACCCTGTTCCACTGCAGACAATCCACGCTGTCACTGCACAATGCCAGGCCATTTCTGCAATATTCATTTTTTTTTGTTTTTGTGTTTTCTTAAGTTAAAGGAATATAAGCAAGTCCTGATGCAAATTAAGATACATGAAGCAGACATTTAATAGTGAGATGAATCTTTGCTGCTATAACAACTTGAAGAATTGATAGCATTAAAATGTTTCTGAAATAATCCATTGGTCTTGATTTTATTTTATCTTTTTAAAGCATTCTGGACTCAATTTCTTCACTGTCTCTCTCTTCCTAAGCATACTATGTATTACATAACTGAACTCTCCTCTTCTGCAGCATCAAGTTTGACACATCATGACTTACCAGGATAAAAGAAAAATAAAAATATTTACCCAGTCCTTTGACAAACTTCATAAGGCACATAATATAACTGGTGGCGGCATTGGCAAAGACCTGGATGCTGTCTGTGTTTAGAAATGCTTCAAAGACATCAAACACCGGAGCCTGGCGTTTCCCTGTGGAAATAACAAGATAAGAACTCCTCCCCATCCCCCATAAAGGTGATTTTCCAAAAGTTTTTCAACAATTTAACTGAATCCATAGAATCTCTTCTATTCTGGGCAGAGACAGAAATTATCTTAGAAGTAAAACATTCTCTTGCTCCTGAGGCAACTCATGTAGCTCTTCGCAGGAAGTAATACAGACTCTCTCTTTCACCTTATCTATGAAAAATATCAGCTTATGCCTGCCAAAATGCTAAGAGCAGGTCTGAGCTCTTGAACTCAGCTCAGTAGCTAACACTTCTGTTTGATGGAGGTTTCTGGTTTAGTTCTTGATAACTGTCAAGATGGCAGCAGTCACGCGGAAAACTATTCAGACTATACAGTAACAAAATCTCTTTGCTTTTCCTAAGTAGATTATCAATCTTCAAGAGCTGTATAAATTTGCATTTTGCCATCGATCAAAATTTTGAAGGAAAACCATATACCTTACACATGACTTGTAACATTTAAAATGACTTTCTAATGGGGCAAAAGGACAGATTCAAGTGATTTTCCTGTATTACCCAGTTTCCACACAAACAAACATCTCAGGGAGGGATGCAAAATCAGTCCTACAGCAAACATGGTTTGTAAGTGTGCAAGCAATGTGAAGCCTTGTGATTAAGTGCCTGGACAAGCACGTGCCCAGATTGTCACACTAACTTACCCTGATGTACAAGAGCAATAGCTTTCACATAGTAGGAAAGACAGTCCACAGGAGACATGGTGGTTGTATGCAGTATGCTTTCCTTTCTCCAGCAGGACAGTGACAAGGGCCCAGCCAAGCTCAGTACTCCTGCACTACTGTTTTGCTCAAAAATATTCAAGTAGGTTTGAAGCATTTCTTTCTCATTCTACTCATCTCCCAGAATCTAGAGAATGAGAAGTCTGAACAATACCTCTGCTTTCCCTCCCACCCCAACTAATAAACCAGATCCTTCAGTACAGTCATAGAGTATTGCAGTGCCACTGTTCAAGCAGGGCATTCAAATATATTGAATTAGTTATTGTGTCCCTGGGGAATAAGACAGGGAAACAAAAACACATATGAAACAGTCAGTGCACTAAGTCCTTACCCATGGAGTATTCTCCTACAAGGTACTCTTTAACCTCTGACTTGCTGCTGCTGTGAACTGTTTCCAGGGCACTGAACAGGGGTCTCCATCCTGACTGGATCTGGGTAGAACACATTTCCACCAACTCTCCTATAGAGGTGACCACCTGCGGACAGTGTAAGAGAGGTTAAAAGAGTAAAACAAAAAACCAGAACTGATACATAGATAGACCTTCAGAAGGAATGAGGACGGCTTTAAACACATTCCTAGATTTCACTAGGTCAGTCTAGACTGATTTATTTTTTTTAATTTTTTTAGATAATGGAGAAGTTTTATTTGGTTGCTTTAAAGCTAGATGTACTGTCTGTGTGCTCTACCACAATGCTGGCTTAGATAGACAGAGCCCTCCTGATTCCTTGAAAATGTTTAAGGGGCACCATTTGAAGGGAATTTGGGAAACATTCTCAAGTGGACCAAGTGCACTCTGGAGATCATCCTTCTTATGGGCATGGTAGGCCAGATCACAGAATCACAGAATGTTCAGGGTTGGAAGGGACCTCTGTGGGTCATCTCGTCCAAACCCACTGCCAAAGCAGGGTCACCTACAGCAACCTGAACAGGACCACATCCAGGCGGGGCTTGAATATCTCCAGAGAAGGAGACTCCACAACCTCCCTGGGCAGCCTGTTCCAGTGCTCCGTCACCCTCAGAGGGAAGAAGTTCTTCCTCATGTTCAGACGGAACTTCCTATGCTTCAGTTTGTGCCCGTTGCCCCTTGTCCTGTTGCTGGGCACCACTGAAAAGAGTCTGGCCCCATCCTCCTGACACCCATCCTTCAGATATTTATGAGCATTTATAAGGCCCCTTCTCAGCCTTCTCTTCTTCAGACTAAACAATTCCAGCTCCCTCAGCCTTTCTTTGTAGGTGAGATGCACCAGTCCCCTCATCATCCTCGTAGCCCTCCTCCTCAGACACCCTGATCAGTGCTGACTTGCCTGGTCTTGGACATCCTCATCACACAGCTCTAGCTGCATGATACGCTCAAAGGGGCGGAAAAGTGCCTCATTAAAGTGAAAATGAGAGGGCTCATTCCAGTCTGTCAGCACTTCAGTGAGGATGTCATGGATGAAGGAGACAGCCTTCCGAGATACGTGTCTCTCCTTATGACAGGCAGCCTGCAGGGA